AGGGTATTTTCTCTCTTGTTTAATAACAGCTGTTGACTACTTACAGTCTTGGCTGTAATAACATATTTCCCACAATTATAACAGCTCTCTCTAAGAGTTATTATTCCATACAGGTTTTAAGCTACAGTTTCTCACAGTATGCCTTTTCAAGTTATACTTGAAACATTTATTTTTTGTGATCTATTTCCTACACCCTGTGTGAATAGCTGTCTGATTAATTCTTTTAATTATTCTAGATTGTCGTTATGAGAAGTTGATGTTTCAATACTACAGGATTTGATGATCCCATAATAGTAGATAGTGTCTTTAGTGGTTCATCTACAATTATAACGGATTCAACTTCCATTCCCAACTGCAGAGCTTCCTTTAAAGAGACATATATATTTTGCTTTAACACAAATCTTATATCGTCAACTTTTATGGCGGCTATAAATTAATCACGTATCAACTAATCCATCATTTCTCATGGAACATCCAGGTAAGATAACTGGGCAAGCATTTCCAAATCTTCTACAAGTTCAGTTAAGGTTTCTTCTCTTCTTTTTTTTTTTGTCACCTATTCCAAAAATTTGCTCTGGATACCTCCTTGTGGTGTGTTACTCTGAACCTGTTGGATAAGGCAGCTACTGATGTTTGATAGTTGTTTCGGAAATTAGCTGAACGGTTACTTAACGTCGTTAAAGCTGGTTCTTTTCAATTAGTGGCAGCAAGATTAATAGCTCATTGTTCACTAGGACATTTATTCAATTTAGAAATTGTTTAGAACTGAGCCTAATACGCCTCTCATGTTACCTTTTCATCATAGTTTGTTTTCACAATTGGGTAATATTTTTGAATTGGCCAACTAAACTTCTGGAACTGGATTTGGCAGTGACATGACTGGAATAGTCCTGGAAGGTCCTGCAATAACAGATGGCATAGCAGTAGTGGTAACAGGTATAGATCAAATATGTTCCTCTATTCCATATTCAATAAATAATGGTGCTTTAGATTGTAATTCTTGGGCAGATGTAGAAAGAATTATTGCCGGTTTAATATTTGTATTTATCAATTGTTTTGTAAATGTCACTTATCATTGATGTTCTTCTATGCCCCATTAATCTTCTGTTTTAATCTTTCTGTACTCCAATTTTATAATTACAGCCTTTCTGTGCTCTTTAATCTTTTTGTTGCAATCTCTCTGTGCTTATCCAATAGCTTCATTAATCTTGTTTTCAATCAGATATATTTTTTATTTTAATTCTTCTTTAAAATATTACATCTCTTCCTTTTAACTTGTCTCTTGACTTTCTGTTTCTTACCTTTTACTCTTATTTTAACTTTCTCTATCTTCTTTATTTTCTTCTGACTGCCTCATTAACTCCAATAAATCTTCCATATCCTGTCGTAAAGTTAAAGTTTACTCAATGTTCTATGTTATTTTCACCAAAATAATCTCACTTCTAACACCAGCATTGGGTTTTCTTTGGGTGGATTCTTTTAACTTATTTGGTAAAAATAATAGGAAGTCCATTTCATGTAACAATAACAAATTAGTTTAATCCTTCCTTAACATTTGCTATAGGCTACTATCACTTGCACACTGTTGTAGGCAAGCTCAAATGACGTTTTCAGTTTCGACAAAAATTTACTCATATGAATATTTTACTAACTTTTAAATCACTGAACAAACTGAAACTAAATAAAGTTCACTAAATAACTGGCATTCCACTAACTGATTCTCGTCTTTATAATGTACCCTTTTTCTATATTAGGTTTGTTTGTTAAATTTCCTTCAAAGTTACTTGAGGGCTATCTGCACTAACCAACCCTAATTTAGAAGTGATAGACAGCTAGTAAACCCTACCGACTGCTAACTCTTGAGCTATTCTTTGCCAATAAAAAGAGGATTGGCCATCACATTATAACACTACTAAAATTGTGATTTTAGATAGTCTAGGACTACTTTTATAAATTTACTTGATCTCTAAGTCATTATCTAGAGAGCGCGTGACTTTAAGATAAAACTTCAACAAATATCTACACCTTGAGTGAAGTATTTAGGTGTGAATGATCGAGCAGCTGTTGTACGAGAGGGAATTGATCGAGCAAATTACTCGGTAAAAGTTAGTAAATTAATCAGTATTTGTTATCAATCAAGGAAATTCTGTTACACGTTGTTAGTGTAATAGTAGTTTCAGTTTATGCTGAAAAGATTGTTTGTGAACTTAGACCTACGACTTGCGTCAAAGTGATCGTAGCCTGTAGCAAATTTTATTGAATAAATAATAAACTTGTTACCATCCACCCACCATCCAATATTTTTTCTAGAGCTATTAGAGATGATGTGATACTGACTGAGATGGCATATAATTATAGGATAATACTTGTTCTGCCATTTATCTTCCTGGGAAATATTAATTATCTCGAGTGGTCATTTTCAGCACAATAATGATTCACCATAAAATAAATACGGAATAATTCAACGTGTGTTTATGATGGAAGCAAAATAATACAAAAACAAAGTGCAAATAATGATGATTAAACATGTTATTGTTGTACACAAACATAAGACTACCGCTTCTAGCAGCGGCTCAACCTCTTTCGCCTTTTGTTATTAGGCATGAAAAGAAATAACACGTGATTTTCCACCGCAGTTGAAATAAACAACTAAAAGAAAATCAAAATTAAATTAAAAAACAAAAAATTTCACTCTTAAAAACAACATTTAAATCCACAAAATCAAAATTTCAATAAAACAAAAACTTATCAAATGAAAAAAAAAGTTTAAAAGAACAAACTAAAAATGATAAACCAATGTTCCCCACGAACTTCTGTAAACACGAAACATTCGATTCTCTTAAAAGAAATATAATATCAAGCTCGTACGCAAAATGTTTAAAAGGAAGGTTCTAATTTGTGAGGTCAAAAGCCAACACATATTGCGCGAAGCACAATCAGCATGCAAAGCATGCTAATACTATAACTATATAAGCATAATGTTTTTGCATTACAAAAACAGGGAGTACGACCGAATCGCCTCGAACTCCTTTGCGTACGTGCGTTAATGTATATCTAATCAAAAACACCTTAGGTATAAAAAAAAAGAATTGAGTGTGCGACTTAAAGGAATGAAATCAAAACCTACACTTATAGCATTGATAAGAATTTGATAGCAAATATTCATTCATTAGTTAGCCAGGCCGCGTTTTTTGTTCAACTTGGGTCATGATGGTGTGTGAAACAAAATACGCGGCTCAGTTAACTAATGAATGAATATTTGCTATAAAATTATCATCAGTGCTATAAGTGCAGTTATCAGTTTGGCCGCCAGTTTTAACTTCATTCGTTTAAGTTGCACACTCAATCCTTTTTTTGGCCGCACCATTTTTTCACACCTAACGTGTTTTTGGTTAGATATCATGACGTTCTGTCAATATATACCAAAGTAAGAAAGTGACACTCGACAGTAACCCACATTAGCTTTAGGATCGCAACCCTGTTATTCGGAACAGACCTTTACTTTACAGAACCAATCAGATTCTTTAAACTATATGGTGGTAGTGTTTCCTTTCTAAAACAGTGTTAATAACTTTCTTTATACTAACGCCATGGAATTTAGATTAACAGTTTCTTGTCATCACCCCAATGCAATCTGTACAGCCGTGTCAAAAATCATCATTTATGCTTATTGTTTAAGCAAATATTACGTGACGCTAAACGCTTATTAATTAGGATAATTCCATAAAATTTAGTAAATTTTTACTGAAAAGTTGACAATGAATAATTGATAATAACTTTCCACCCGTATGATTCTTTTGAAAACTTGAGCTAGAAACTACTAATCTAGTTTGCTTGGCCTAACCAGTACTTATGTATCTGCACGTCCTTTAACCTTATAGTTTTGCTGCTTTATATCCGAATGACAAAACTAAAATGGTCTCTCTTTACTCTTAGCGGAGGCTGTAGTAAAAATGTTAGACCGACAGCTCACGTGATTTTTTGCGTAGACGTGCGCAAAAGTTTGTTAAATTTGAGCGGTTTTCGTTGAATAACTTTGCACATGTGGATTATACTTACACCAAATGAGACTTTTAATTGTAGGTTGAAAAGATCTATCAGTGAACCAGATTTGAAAAAAATCCATAAAAGTTAAGTATATTTTTCTATCAAATAAAGTTTCCGTACCTTGGTGCGAAGAAAAAAATAAGAAGAAACTCAATCAAAATTGAAGATGTTATATCTCAGGTATTTCTTAATGGATTGCCTTGAAGTTTGGTATGTGAAGTAAGAGTCTAGTAGAACATATCCACGTAAAATATGTGATAATTCGGATTACCAAAGTCCGAGCTACAGAAGGTGTAAAATCGCTAAACTATCATTCCTGTTAATAACACACAGTGTATCCTGCAGTTTAAAAATTAACATCTTTTTACTTGAGTTTCTAATTACACTGTTTCTTATTGGGGAATTATTTACTTCTTTACTACATTATTATTAAAATCATTTTCTGTTCCAGGATTACGGTATACTATAAAGGCTTGGCTCTAGTCACTCATTGCATAGGGTTTTTGCCTGGTTTTAGCAGATAGGCAAGGGCGGCAATCCGCTAAAGGCGGAAAAATTCAGAGGGCAAGAAACGCGGTGATCTGTCGTGCGGCCAAAACAACCTGTTGTTGTCCAATTTTTATTTTCTACTCAAATAGGCCTACCAGTATCCGCGAAGTGATCTCACGTGTGTAAAAGCGGTATTAACATAAGTATATGATTTAGTGATAACTTCAAATAAAACATTATTTTGATTACATCGAACATAATATCGTTATTATTTTTATGTTTTTTTAAACTCTAATATGGAAACTCAATCTTTACCATCGCGGCCTTGTACCCCTAGGGGTCCATTAATTACAGGTAGAGAATCGCGGTTTCAGGTCAATGATTACAATCAGTAAATCAACGATGGAATATTGAGTTTTAATAACAAAACGGGGGGGGGGGGAGAAGGTGATTTCGTTACTTACTTGCTCGTGCCTTTTAAGTAAACTGACACGTGGAAAAGTCTTATCACAATAGTGGCAACAGTACGACGTGCTGTTCGTTCTTCCAACAGTGTAGGCTACGTCATCGTCTCGGTCTGAAGGCACGAGGGAGCTCATCGAGTTCTGTGGAGGATCGGAAGTTTCTATGCAATTCGCAATTTTAGTTTCACTGGTTATCCCTAAAAAAATATTAGATTACTGTTAAGTTGTAGAATAAGGTTATTTTATAATTATCTTTTATAGTCTTATAGCTTGCTTTTAGTATTCTTTTTATAAAAATTGCTGACTGGGGATTACACTTGTTTTTGTTTTAGAAAAAAAGTTTTAAAATTATAATTTATGACAAAAACAGCTACAATTTTGTAATGAAAATCTCAAAGTTTGCAAAACAATGAGAATTAATAATACTGAAAAACACGAAACTGATAAATACACACTACAAAACTTCCAAAGAGCTCACAGTGGCGTGAATAAATATTTTTACGACAGCTGAAGTCACGCGACGCTGAGAGCATGCGCGCTGGAGTTTCTCGACGGATCATGAATTTTCCTGGCAACTCTAGTTTGTTCCAGACGCCCTCTTTTTTTAGTATATAAGCCCGGCAAATAAAGCCAGCGAAGAAGATAGAATTGCATAGATCAAAGAGATATGCAGATAGATTGAAGAGATAGATAACTGTGTCAAGCGAACAGTAAGCACCGTAAGTAAAGTGTGAGTGAATTACTGTGATTTATAGCGTGTTATAAAGCTTGTTAAGTTGTTAAGTGACTGTGGAAATGCTGTGTACTAAAACGTTGTATCGAGAAAGAATAAAATAGTTTTAATTAAGAAAGAATTTGTATCGCTGAAGTTCCTCGGAACTAATTTATACCGTAAATTAACAAACGAGCAGATATGTAACAATATTGTATTGCTTAAAAGACAACCCAAAAGTAAAGAGTTCGGTTTACATTAAACATGGTAGTACTAGTAGGGATAATTAAGTAACTCGTAGCTATATTAAAATACTTAGCACTGTTTACAAAATGAGCTGAAAAGTCGAAGTGACATTAAGAATAGTTAGTACATCACCAAAAGAGCATATAAACATTAAAGAATAATTAACACTGTTTAGGAAATAACCTGAAGATCGCAGAGAGACATTAAGAATGGTTAACATAATTTAGAATAACCTTAAGAGTGTAGAGAGACAATAGGAATGAGTAACATAATTTAAAATAGCCTAAACAATTCACAGTGACAATTAAGAATGGTTAGTACAGTTTAGAAAATAGTCTAAAGAACACAAAATGACATTATGATTAAGTAGTCAAATCACATAATGAATATAAAGATATTAAAGAATGGTTAACACACTTTACATGATAACCAGAAAAGCAAAATCAACTTTAATAATGATTAGTAGGTATTATAGAATAACCAAACGAGCTCACAGTGACTGACACTAGAATGCTATGTAGAGCTGATAGTAAGTGAATGGTTCGAACACTTTTTATGAGAAAGAAAAAGGCTCACATAGATAAGAAAAAGTAATTCACGGTAATCTTTTTATTGCTTTCAGATATTAAAATAAATACTTCACAAGCAAAGGTAGATAAGTCACGTATCGTTATGAATAATGTAAAAATAATCACATACCTTTTGAAAGATTTTATTATTTAGATATTATTTGATTTATATGTTCTAGGTTAGTTACGAGTGATTACGAACACTGATTAACACATTCACTCAGTTTTACAGAGTGAATACAGAAACTGATGAATATGTTTACCAGTGCTCAATCTGACAGAGTGATTACAGACGTTGATGATGTTTAACAGTGCTCATTCTAATAGAGTGAATACAGACATTGATGAACATTTTTAACAGTGCTCATTCTAACAGAGTGAATCAGATCCAAATCACCTTAGGTACTCTAATCCTGCCTAAAAGAATTTGAATTTAAGGGTAGGCTGGTAGAGATCCTGATGAGTAATAAAAATCGAATTCGGTATACGCGCGCCTCACAGTTGGTAATTTGCTGGCACACAAAAATACAGCTAATAAAAAGGAAAAAGAAACAAGAAAGGTCTAATGCATTAATTTACTCTAATCCTGCCTAAAAGAATTTCAAGTGCCGCGGCTATTGAGAATTCCCTCTTGTTTCATAAACTAATACATGAGACCCCCCTTTTTTATTAGCTATATTTGTGTGCGCCAGCAATACCAAGCGTGGAACGCGCGTATACCCGATTCGATGTTTATTACTCATCAGGATCTCTGCCAGCCTACCCTCAAATTCAAATTCTTCTAGGCAGGATTAGAGCAAATTTATCTCTGAGACTTTGGGCGTGGTCAAATACATCAATAGAAAGGGTTTGACCTCCTGAGTCCAAAACTGTAATTAGTTCTCCAATTGGTGAAGAGATGAAGGGGGCCATGAGCTAAAGGTTTGTACTTGAAAAAAAAAAACACTCAGAGCCATTCTATGAGCTGCTTTGCCACGGCTAAAAAAAAAGTTCAGCAAAAAAGAATTGAGTGCGAGACTTAAAGGAATGAAATAAAAATTGGCGGCCAAACTGGTATTTTCATTTATAGCATTGATAAGAAGTTTACAGCAAATATTCATTAATTAGTTAGCCAGGTCGCGTTTTTTGTTCAACTTGGGTCATGATGGTGGGTAAAACAAAAGTTGGTAATGAATAATAACTGTCTACCTATATGATTCTTTTGAAAATTTGAGCTAGAAACTTTTAATCTAATTTGCTTGGTCTAACCAATACTTGTGTATCTGCACGTCCTTTCGCATTCTAGTTCTGCTGCTCTAAATCAACTGTCTTTAATCCGAATAACAAATAACTAAATTCATTCTTAGGTGAAGCTGTAGCAAAAATTTGAGACCGATAGCACACATGACTTTTTGCATAGGTGTGCGCAAAAATTTTGGACAAAATTGAGCAGTTTTTGTTGAATAACTTTGCACTTGTGGCTTATATTTAGACCAAATTTGACCCCTAATTGTAGGTTTTAAGGGTCTCTCAGTGTACCAAATTTGAAAAAAATCCATGAAAGTTAATTTTGTTTCTCTATCAAATAAAGTTTCCGCATCTCTACCATGATCTCTTAGAAAAAATAATAGCAAGAATTTCAATCAAAATTGGAGATTTTATATTTCGTGTATTTCTTAATGTATTGCCTTGAAATTTGGCATGTAAAGTAAGAGTCCAATAGAGCACATCAATTGAAAATATGTGATAGTTTGGATTACCATAGTCCGAGCTATAGAAGGTGGAAAATTGCTAAACTATCACTTCTGTTAATAGTACACAGCGTGTCCTGCAGGATGTTTTGGCTGCACGACACGATTCCATGTGTCTTGATACAGACACTGATGAGAATGATTACCAGTGCTCAGTCTCAAATCTGTTCACTTGTTTGTCTTTACCATTACTAACACTATCAATTTGTTTCTTATTACCCTTGTTGATATTCACTCTGACAGACTGAGCACTGGTAAACTTGTTCATCAATGTCTGTATTCACTCTGTCAGACTGAGCACTGGTAAACTTGTTCATCAATATCTGTATTCACTCTGTCAGACTGAGCACTGGTAAACTTGTTCATCAATGTCTGTATTCACTCTGACAGACTGAGCACTGGTAAACTTGTTCATCATTGTCTGTATTCACTCTGTCAGACTGAGCACTGGTAAACTTGTTCATCAATATCTGTATTCACTCTGTCAGACTAAGCACTGGTAAACTTGTTCATCAATGTCTGTATTCACTCTGTCAGATGAAAAGGTCTGGATTCAACACTGTACATTGTCCACTTCTTTGTCATTACCTAGGATAATACTGTTAAAGTGTTTGTTTTTGCGATGGTTGACATTGTTCCTTGTTTGCTATTAATTAGGCTGATATTTTTCACTTGTTTCCATTACCATTATTAAAACTGTTCATTTGTTTGTCATTACGGTGGTTAACATTGTTCATTTGTTTCAATTATGAAGGTTAATATAATTCGCTTTATTAGCTAGGTTAATACTGTTCGTTTGTCATTAACCGTAGGTGTAAAATATTTTGTTGAATTTGAATTCATTCCACCAGCTTCACCCCCCACAGGGGAAAATCCCCCATGTACACCCCCTGAATTCAACAATGACAATGTTAAACATCGTAATAACTAACAAATGAAAAATGTCAACTTTCGCAATGACAAATGTGTAAACAAGATTAAACACCTTATTGACAAACAAGTGAACAATATCGAGCATGTACAATCGACCCGGAATTTTATGAATTTGTCTAGATAAATCTATAAAGATATGGTATTCTACATTTTACTGTTAATTAGGTTTCTGATATACGTCAGTACTCGAGTCAGTCTCCATCTTCCACATATGAACAATAGAACAATAACGTGTGTCAGTAAATCATGTACTTGACTTTTGCTTGTAGTGAACATAATACTCTTTACAGTATTATTTATGAACACGTAAGGAATTTAAGATGCCGATTTACCAATGGATGAAAGCTTAAAGAAGGAGCGTTTATTGTTTAATATACGTGACAATCATGGCCGTTGGCAGTAAAGACATTTTATATTAGTTACCAGTTGATAATTTTTGCATTGGGTTGTTTTTAGTTGCTACATTTTATGCCAAGTACAAGTTGGCGCAAGGCAAAAGTCAGTTCGTACGTCACAAATGGAACAGACACCGAGTGAGGCGGTACATCTGGCACTTACCATCTAACATATTTTATGTTGCTATATTTTATGTCAAAAACAAGTTGACGCAAGACAAAAGCCAATTCGTATGTTCAATACCATCCATCGAAATAGGCAATACAACTGGCACTTACCGGTTAACACATTTTGTGTTAGAGTTATCTTGTGTTATGTTCTGAGGTATAGAAAGCAACTTAGAGGACCTTAAAAACAAATATCTCTTTAAATAAAAGGAAGAATTAATTTATGGTTACCTGTTGCTAAAGAGAGGATTATGGTACCCTAAAACCAGTAAAAACCTACCAGATATAGGTTCCACAACTTTCATCTTGAGTCTAACTACAGCTTCACACTGCACTGACTTGGTTCATTTGCTCTCATATTGCTTAACAAACCTGGGTGGGACGACGTTTGGCAGTTGGCTACTTCTATGTACTTGAGATTTATTTGTGCGTGCGTGGCACGAG